AATGCTTTCAGTTAAGCCAGTGCCTTCTGCCTTCACCTCCCACTTTCCCGGAGTCAGAGTGATTTGTGTGACACATGTCACTATCACTGGCTTTAGCAGATCATAAAACAAGCACTCTCTCCCAGGAAAAGCTTTGCCTCCTCTCCACAGGTCCTTCAGTGCCCTGGAAACAAAATGGGCTCTTGGTCACATTGAAATCACTCTGCCTGAGGGATGTTAAAAAGCCCCAAATACTCCTGGAAGGTGGGTGATGAACTACCCCAAAATGAGGAATTCTTGTGAAGGTCTGAGCTCCTCTAAAGCTGTAGCCATATAAAGATTCTTATGCTGCACTTTGCTTTCTATTCCAATTTATATCAGCTTTTGTGAGCTAATTCCCAGATCAGTTAAGCATTCAGGCATAGAGACTAAAATGTAACTCCTGTTGTATGTAAGATCCAGCCAATTAGACAAAAATGTGAACAAAAGCAGCACAAGAACACAGAAGTGTTCAAGCATCCATTAGAAAGAGTTCCAATTTCCTTTCTAAATGTCAAGTACAAAATCTATATTTCACATGCAAATAACAGTGGAGTGTTGTTGCTAATATACTCCTGAAATTACATTTTCATAGCATGACCTTTCTTGCTAACAATAACTTACATTTTAATTAAATCTGTGGCCATTTTCCTTTCATGCCAAATATCCCCATGCTGTGTATTACTGAATTTTTGTGTCAGAGAAGAAAGTTTAAAGGTTGCAGTCCTGAATTCTTCCTGGAGTTAAACTTTTTTAATAACACACAGGAGAATTTACACGTGTGTGCTCTCCCTGCAGGTTTGCAGAAACACAAACCACTGTTGTTTCACTGAGCTCTGGGTGTCAGGGTGAGAGAGGAGGATTTGCCAGGTCTCACTTCAGTGCAATAACCTGAAGCACGAGGAGCAGAGATGAAGTTTGGGATGAAGTCCTGGCACTCAGCTTGGCTGCTGGAGCTGCAGGTTCCTTAAAGGCTCTCTGCCCCTCCAGGCTGCTCCTGCTGTGGGGCAGGAGCCTGGCCCTGCCTTGCTGTGCTCCCAGGGGCAGGAGCTCTGCTCTGAGCCTCCTGCCACTTGCCTTGTGCACTGAGACACTGCCAAGCTGGGGAATTCTCTGGGGTGTTTGCAGGGACTGGGGAGAAAAATACATTTAGTGCTGCCTCTGAGGAGCCACCAAATGGCACAGATCTACACTTGTGCTAGGTTGGTGACTGGGAAATGCTTTGGAAAGGATTTCTAGACACTGACCTGTGAGATCAGAGATTGAAGGGGAGAAAGGAATTAATTCCCGAAGGCAGAGGATCTCTGCCATAATTACTTCGTTGCTTATTGTCCTTTTAACAGTGCATTGACAGTGCTGGTTGTCTTGTACCAAGTGAAAATGCTGCCTGCTGGTAGCAGAGTGACAAATCAAGGAAGAGGCAGAAATCATCCATCTCATCCTGAAAGAATCAAAGTCTTCCTCGAGGTTTTAATGAGCGTGAAGCTTGGATGGAGCAGTTTTTGGATATGGAGTGAGTTTATTGCACAGCTGGATTTCACACCTCCTTGCAGGGTCTGGGGCTATTACAAGTGTAGTTTTATAAATACTTTATATCGGTGCTTCAGGGATGGTGCCTGGGGGTAGGGAACTTCCCATGGGATCTCCTGCTGTGTCTCCAGCAGGAAGATAAGCTGCATTTACAACTCATGCTCTCAGTTCTGGAGCAAATCCTTTTTGTGGAGAAAATGTCTTCCTTAAACATGAGTAATAGAAGCTGTTATAGTTTGCTGTTGTTTTGGCATGTCCAGAACTTTTTTTGAGACCTCACAAGGAATTCATTTGAGGAAATGATTGCTTGAAATATTATCTAAACAACAGCCACCTTGCCAAGTTTTCTTTACTTGTCAGACACCAAGCAGTGTAATGTGTGTGTGTGTTTGTTCCTGAGCTTTCAGGGTTTCAGGGGCTTTAGTTGTTGATGTCCTCTTTTGTCATAAATTACATGATGGTGACAAGAGATAGACAAAGAACAACAACAACAAAATAGTGACAGAACCACAGCCCTTCCTCCACTCATCATAGGGGAGTCATCAGCCAGAGAAAGGAGACAAACAGTGGAACACAAGCACTGAGCTCTGCATAACCAGAAGCAATTTCTGATCAGACTAAGCCTTTGCTTCACATCAGTGCATCTGTAAACAAAACAAGAAACAACCCCATGGCACTGTGTTTATAAAAAGAAAAATATGGAGGGGGAAAAAGCAGCAACCCAGGAGCGTTATCCTGCAGTTGCAGGCAGTGATGTGAAGAGAAGCTCAGCAGTTTAATTCAGCTTGGTTTGGGCTCTCCTCATTCTCAGGAGCTTTAGAGAAGGGCCCCCATGACTTGCTATTGGGGCCAGCTGGAAAATGCTCAAGAGAAGTTTGGCTTCTGGCACAGGACTCTGATCAATCTCCTCAAACATCTGTAGCAGCACACCAGGAGCAAGGCCTGCTGAGGAGGAAAATTGAGGATGGAAATTCCTGCAGTCACTGAAAGCTGGCAGTGAGCAGAGAGCTGCCAGGGAAGTAACATTTCCCTCAGAGCTGGCAGGACCAGGAGAGGGAGGTGACACAGCACTGCCTTGGGCAGCTCTGGTGCTCCCAGGTGAGGCAGCCAAGTCCCATGACATTTCTGGAGGAGAAATGGAGGTGCAGCAAGAGGATAAACTTCCTTCTTCTCTGCTGAAGTGCCAGCTGGAGAATAAATCAATGGAGCATCCTGGCTAGGCACTCATTCTAAAGAGCAGCACAAGCTTATTAAGGAATAATGTGTGTGAAATGCCTCCAGTGATGTAAAACCTTGGGGTGGCCTGCAGCCAGAACCCCATAAAACATTCCCTGGTGCCAGTGCAAATTTGCCTGGCAATAAATGGCTGTGCTAATGAGGTTTTGCAAGGGGCTGTCAACCTTTTCACCTGATCAGAAAATAGTGAGGCTCTGCAGCCCCAGCTTCACACTGTGGTGAACTCCACCACTTGTGCTGAGATGAACTGATGTGGCAGAACAGAGAAACAAGGGAGAAAATGTTGCCAAGGTATTTGGCAAAAAATTTGTCTTCCTGAAAATAGCAGGAGAATTTCTTGGTGTAGACACTTCATTCTCAACAGCACCATCTTCTGTGCTGCGCCTCCCCTTGGTGTGATGCTCAAGGAAGAAAAAGAGAGGAGTGAAGAGAACAAGGCTGCAGTTAACATCTGCAATGTAACCCAGAAAGGTGACTTCTGTGTCTTGTTAAGTGAGGGGAGCAGTGCGGAGGTCAAACCCCAGAAAGATGTTAGAAATGCAGCAGCTTTGACAGGAGCAGGGGAGAAAAGAATGTAATTGTCTGTTCATGTTATTCCTCTCCAGTGTGTGTGTGGTGATGCTGGGCTCTGCTGGCTCCTTTCACCTCAGGCTGAGGAGAGAGCCCCAAGCAGCTGCTCCTGGCAGTCCTCGTCTTCCTGACAGAGACAGCAAGGGAGATGTGGCTCTGAGAGCTGCCAGCTGCTGGGAAAAGGTAACTCACCATTTTTATACTCTCTGAGGTGCTGGAGCCATTAAGCAAGATCCTTCCAAATTACTGGAAGCGTTGTACTTTTATGTAAGTGAATGTTTGAGTGGTTTTTGGTATGGTTGTGGTTTGGGGCTTTTTGTTCTTCATTATTCTCTAGGGTTAGAACTGACTCCGAATAACCTAAAAGATGAGGCACTCCATTTTCCTAAGATGAAAAAGCTTTTTTTAAGGATTAGGTGGAAAGTCTTTGGGGCATCTTGCATATAAGCTACACATTTCCAGGGACTCCAGAGCTGAAAGATCTTAGCTTTAAATACATTTCTCACAAAACCAACATTTGTGTTGGATCTGGCCAGGCTACAAGGCACCATTTTTCCATGTTTCCTCAAAACCATAATTATTTTAATTATTTTTAAAAAAAATAAATACGTTTGCAAAACAATTCATTAGGTCCTCCAATCTGAAAAGTCACAATGGAACTGAAACTGTGCCTTAGATTACAGGCATGTCAAAACATGACATCCTTGTGTTTCCAAAGGTTCAGATTCTCCCAGTAATTCCAACCTCCTTGCTGGAGAGCAAGCCTGGAATTCAGCCAACCCAGGCAAAGTCTGAGACTTGGAAAATTTTGGCTCTTGGTGCAGCTGGACTGCCAGAAGTCCCTGGGCTTGTGAGGTTTAGGAAGCCCACAAAGCCAGACCTGCTGTGTGGTGCTGGAGCCCTTGTTTGGCATGAGGGGCTCCTGCTGTGATTCAATAACGGAAATTAAGAAAAGTAAGCAAGCAAACACCCAAAGAAACCCATGCATTGCTTTCCCTTCTCCCTACCATTTCATAACTGTGAGTATAGCCATCACAGTTCCATTAAAACCCAGCAGTTCATCTGCTGTTGTGTCCTTGCTCCAGCAGGAATTCCAGCCCAGTGTTCCCCAGGAAGGTGGAGAAAGCTGGTGTGGTATGGGGGAAGTGTGTCTTGTCTCTGATGCTGGTGGCTCCTTTAGCCTGGGGACCTTTTTCAGGCAGGAATGTCTGCAGGGGCCCTGGAGCAGAGGGAACATTTCTAGACCTCCAGAAATGCACAATAACCACAGCCAGTGCCCGTGGCCACGGGGCTGGAGAGACATTGCAGTGGAATCTGAGCCAGGGACTGTGTCTGGAGATAAAACTCCCCTTGCATGTGCACAGCCCTGCTGTCTGCACAAAACACCCTGCTGGAGTGGTTTTAGTATCCTTCAGATGCAGAAACAGGGCTAGAGTCACCTTTCCATGCAAATAACCATTCTGGCTGCCACAAAGCCCAGTGTAGGGAGAAGTAAGGACAGCTGCAGTTTTGTGCCATTAGGAGAAAGCCCAGCTCCAGGCATATTTAATCTCTTGGGAAGTGGGTCTGGTCTGCTAGATAAAGTTCAACATGTCACATTCTGTTAATGTGGTACTTGTGGTGTTTCTGGGTGTCTTTCAGGCCCATCACCAAGGTACTTCAGCACAAGCTTCATTTTAAATACAGGACTATCACTGGCTTCCACAGCATTGCTGCAGTGCTTCCAGTTGTGGAAATGCTGAAGCACCTGCCCAGACTGGAGTGTGAAATACTGATAAGAGAGGTATGATATTGTCTGAGGAGACATATCTTAGGCTGACAGCAACTGTGCTTTAATTGTCCCCACTTTCCACAGCATGTTTCTGTGGCAGGGTCATGTTCCAAGTCAGATGTGTTCTGCTAAGGAGCTGTAGCCTGACAATTATCCCTGCCCTAACAGCAGCAATGCTCCAGCAGTGCTGGTCTGGGAATGTAATCCTGAACCATAGCCAGCAGGGAGGCTCATGGCTGTCCCCTAAACCGGGCTGAAGGTGAGCAGAACCCAGAGCCTCCATTCCCACCCCTGTGCACATCTGCCATGGCAGGAACTGAATGAAGGGAACATGGATGTGCTGGAGCCATTCCTGCTGCAGTGATTAGCCTGCTCTGGTACAGGCAGGAGTGGGAAATGCTCCCAGATGTCCCTGAGGTGCAAGGACCCCTAAGTGCTGGCTGTAATTGCACAAGAGCTGTTTATAATTGCTGGGGTTGCCAGAAAGGCCTTTCAGAAGGACTCTGTGCAGCCAGGGGCTTGCTGCCTGCTCAGGTCAGTGTGAGATCAGTCCCAGAGCAGGGGCCAAGGAGCAGATTGAGCATTGCCCTGGCAGCAGCCCAGGCTGCAGGACTCACATCAGGGGTGATCTGGGCAGGGCACAGCTCCCAAAGTTTGTGAATAACTTATCATCACCCCCTCTGCTTTTTGGTTTTCCTTCTTTTCTTCACTGCCTTTGAAACAAAGTCTTGCCATGACAGTCAGATTTCCATACATGAAACCCTTCCATTAATAACAGAATATGTTCATCAGCAGCAGAATTGTTTTCAGCAGTTTGAATATAAATAAGGAAAACAACCAAACCCAGCACCTTCAGCTTATATCCAGACTGTCTTTTTCTCCTCTTTCTGCCAAAACAGACAAAATTCCTGCTGGTTAGTGGCAGTTTCTATGTGAAATATTTCTCCTGCACTGCTGAGCTCCAGTTTGTTTGCCAGGTTTCCAATAAGCTCTGCTGACTGTCAGAGGCAGACTCCAGCTCTTCCCAACTCACTGAAGTGCAGTGTCTCTTTTAGCAGTGCATGAATTCAAGTGTGTGCAACAGAGAGGGAAAGAGAAGTCAGAGCATCAGGAACAGGATCTCACTGAGGAACCAGAGACAACTCAGAAATGAAGCCACTGGTTTAAAAAGTATATAAATTATGTTTTGCACTTAATTACTTAATAAATCCTGCAGATGCCCTGAAGATCCATCAGTCTTTAAAGCAAAATGAAAATAAGCCAAACTTAATTGCCAGAATTAGAACACCAAATTTTGTTCTTTTGCCTATGTTTAAGCATTTCCTAAATGTTCTGTTTTTGCTTGGACACAGCCATGTACATCCGGCATTTTCTATTTACTTGATGTTATGATTTAGTCAGGAAATTATCTAAGATTTGAGGTTTTTAATTTTAGGCTTCTGTCCTTCTAAAAAGCCAAGACATTTGGAAGACCCAAATAGAATGAGTACTTTTTCAGGTTTCTTTGCAGAAGAAATACTTTATTTAAACCAAAATCTGAACTGAAGTTAATATTTCCTTTTGAAGAATTAATTAAAATTAATTATTTTTTTCTGCAAAGCAGCATGTGCATAAAATCTTGTTAATTTTTACCATCTTTGCTCATCCTGAATAATTCTTGGTGCACTTGTGGCATCAAGATGGAAAGGCTGATGGTGCTGCTGAGGGTACAGTTATGGGCTTCTCTCTCTTTTTGCTTGATCTGGAAAGAAGTGTTCAGTGCATTTGGCACTCTGTCATTTTGTCTGGCCTGTCACCCTGTGAGATTCACTCAAATCTATCACATTTATCTCTGCTCTCCACAGGTATCAGCCTCTCTCTGTTGCACTGCCACTGCAGGGGATGGGATCAGAAACCAGCAATTAGGGAAGGGTTAAAGAGACCTATGGATGCTAGTGAAGGTGACAGGAAAATTAATTTTGTTTTTCAGTTCTGATTTTGTCTGCTGAGATCTCGAGGAAATGTTGAAAATGTTATCTTAGCAATTTACACTTGTTTTTAATGTGATTTATCATTACCCATTTACAGCAGAGTTCCTGCTGCTCACTTTATAGTTTTGTTTCTCGTTGTTTTGGTGAGATGTGACATTAATTTGCCTTCACATCTTCTATTCATTTCAGCTATGCAAAAACTCCTTAATATGTATCACCACATGGACTCTGGAAAATACAACATATGGTTTTAGTCAGGACTGGAGAAGTACATGCAGATATAGCATGAAGAAACACAGAATTCTCTCTTGGAGGAGGCTGTGGCAATATCTGTGTGTTTGTAAGAGAACTCTAAAGCCTCATACTGAAGGCAGCCAGTCCATTTCTGTAATTGCCCTGTGCTGTGAAACAAGCCCAGAGCAGCAGACAGGAATGGAGTTTATTTCCTGCTTCTTGCTCTGAGCTTGCACACGAGTGTAATTCTGTTTTACACTTTCCCAAACCAATAGAAAGCAGCTGAGCACAACCTTTTGTAAGTGTTTTTCTGCCATTCTATTTTCATGAACTTCAGAAGAAAGATGGGATTGCCCTGGCTCACAAATATTTGCTTGTTGGGAAAAGCAGTTCAGGTGTCAAGGTTTGTGGCAGGTGTAAATTGAGTGATTCGATTTAGGTTTAAAAATGACTCAACCTCGGCATCAAATCCCAAGTTAGAAGGTTCAGAAAAATGCAGAACAACCTAATTTAGCATCCATCACTTGAGGAACCTCTCTCCCTTTTCACTAAGATGGATGAACAGAGGAGCCATGGCAGATCTGTCATATCCACGTGACTTTCTCTGGAAAGCTGTTAAACTGTTAAATCCTGGAAATCATCCTAGAGCCTCTCTTTGCTCACCAAGGAGAATGTCTGTGAGATGAGGGAAGCTTCAGGTGGCTTCTTCCAGGATCCAAAACCCATGGGAATGTTACAGCTATTTTAGGAAGTGATGATGTTGAGATTTGGTCAGGTTATTGCTAAATGCCATTGTGCAGTCTGCCAAGGCTGGTTCTGAACAGTCAGCACCTAGATTTTGTTAATACTGAGAAGATTAGAAATTCTGAAATGGAAATCCTAAAAAAAAAAGTAAAAGTAATGTTTAAAAGCCAATACATCAAAACATTCCAGCTTTCAAATTTCACAGTTCCACAAGGAATCTTCGATCTTGGCTTATTGTCTTGGGTTTGTAGTTTTTTTAATTAGACTTTGAATTTTAATAAGATGAATATATGTTTTCCTAATTTTTTTAACAGAAATTAGTTTTCAGGCCATTAGCATATTTATAAAAGTAATATTGAGAGCGACCCTTAGTTAAAAATTCACAGTAAATTAACTTTTCCCTTCATATACATGATATTTTAAAGCCACTTTAATTATCCATAATAGAACACAACATTAGTCTGACAGAAATTCTCACAGGAAAAATATGATATATTTATATCAGTTAATTTAGCTGTGTCAATTTGATTTTAAAGGGACACTTAAGCCTGGAATTCAGTTCATCTGAAGTCTGAGCATTGAAGTCACACCAGGGGAATGGGAGAATATGAAAGAAAAGTGGAATATCTTTTCCCTGTATAGGCAGATGTTGAGATTTTATAAATGTTTCCAATATCTTCATGGTTAGATACATAAAGCTTTATTTTAATTAGGTAGACATATGTTAGGATACATTAGGAAACAAAATACAACCAGTGTATATTTTCAATAGGCTGTTCTGTGAGCACAGAGATAACAATTTGAAAAAATAATTTATTTCAACTACAAATGGTACATCATCATGTCAGAGAAATGAACACAAATGCTGACATTTCCAAGAATTAAGTAGGATTTCAGCTTTAGCTCTCCATCTCTCTCCCCACTAACCAAAATGAAAATGTAATGCCTCAAAGAAAGTAGTTTCATATTTGTAATCTTTGATACCAGCACGATTAAGAAAGGCATTAAGAAAGGTTGATTTGTACACAGTGCTGAAAAATCAGTTCTGCCTGGGAGAATGATAAATAGTGGAAGCTGCTTTTTAAATAGAAGTAATTGCTGATACATCTATGTATATGTTTTAGCACTGTTTTTAATTTGGGGTTTTTTATCTCATTGCACACCAAAAAAATTCCAGATGGAATTAGCATTGGGAAAATTTTAGAAGAGTAGCCATTGAGAACAGTCATAGCTGGACCTAACTTGGGAATGTTTTTTGTATTAAAAAAAGAGTCCTTTTACATTCAGCCCTTTGCCTGCTGGCCTAGATTCTTGCTGAGATGGAGTTGTGGTGTGAGGAAAAACCATTCCATGTTCCTTGGGTGTGCATGGAACAGGACCATGGGTTGGAGGCACTTACTGGGTCCAGACCTGTGTGTCTGGGTTGCTTAAAGACTTGGCAAACTGTTTAATCTGGAATGGAGCACGTTATGGATTGTGCTTCCTTGTGTGCTAACAGGGATTAAATGCTACATGAGTCTCTTCTAAGGCCCAGGCACATCAACTGGTTTGGCCTTTGCAGGGAGGAAGAATAAAAGTGCAGCTACAGGAATTCCAGGTGACAGAAAAGCAACATTTGGGAGGCATTTACATGTGTCAGCCTCGCTGTGTGTAGGTGATTTCCTCACTTGACAGGAAGATTTCATCTCTGCATAAATAGAAAAGAGGACAAGGAATTATTTTCCCAGGTAATATTCATTTTTGGAGGCATTAAAAGTTTCTCAACTTGTCTGAGGATGAAATGAAGCTTTTCTGAAGTTTATGCCCTGATAATTTGGGCACTGAATTGACCTAAGTTTGGTTCCTGGACCCTGACAGTTGCCCTGTCCTGAGCAGGGATAAACAAGTAACTAGAGGAGAGGAGGGGAGCAAGGACTGGATCAGCATTTAGGAGGAAAATGCAAAAAGTCTCATTTCAACTAAAGAAAAACTATGGAAAATATTAATTTGAGAAAGTGTTTTAAACATGTTTTGGATGAAAATGAAGTAGAATGAAGCAAATGCACAAATGAAGTAAAAAAAAAA